CAATGTATAATATGTTAAAGTTCTTGATGATTTGGTGCGTTTTCCGTGCGATTAACCAATGAAATTATTATATGAGTCGTCATGACAACAATGATTGTTTTATTACCATTGTTAAATCTCTCTCTTTTTTTCGGCTCTACTTACATTTCATGCTTTTCTGTAACAAAAAAATGTCACATGTTCAATTCAATTTCATTCACTTTCTTGGAAAATTAAATGATTTTATACCCCATTTTCTCTTTCTTTCATTTTTTAAAACGGTAAATCTATTTTAAAATTATTAGTAATCTATTTATCCTAATTTTTGTTTATTGACTCAAGTTTACACTTCTTCTACTAGAAAACTGATAAAAAAGGCTAAGCCATCGAAAGTTGCTTTTTTAATAAAGAATATTGTTGGCAATGTCAATGTAATTATTTCTTTTATATTAAGATAAACTTGGTAATACTTTCTCTCTCCCTGCCCCCCCCTCTCTCTTTCTCTCTCTCTCTCTCTCTCACACCCACACACACACACACACACCGGGAGAGGTGGCTCAGGGTACCACCTGATGTCAGTGCAGTGTCTCTGACTGGTATGTCCGATTTTCGACAGTAGTCAGATTGCTAGGTCGAATTCGGACGCTGTACGAAGGAACATTCTAGCGTCCGGCTGCTTTCATCTGTAGTTTTCCGTGATTTCTCCCATCAATACCAGACGAATGCTTCATCGCAAGATCTTGAATCGCAGAATTCTTGAATCGCAGGTTCCTGAATGCGAACCTTATGATTACTTCTATGGGTTCTTATTGGTCTTGTATTTATCGTCAATGTCACTGTGCCATATTTTTAAGGTTGTTTATAACTGTTATTTTGGTACATATTGTAATATTTCAGTTTATATTTCAGTTTCTTTGTAAAACAGGATTTATGTTACGTTACATTCATTCCAGTATCCGAAGTAGAGAGTAATTAAGCATCCAAGAAACATATTTAAAAATTACAGTTGAACATTCTGATGTGATACGAACTGACCGCATCTCAGGTCTTACATTCATCCGTATAAATATATGATGTAATAATAATAATAATAGTAATAATAATAAAAATAACATTAATAGTAATAATAATTCGATTGTTTATTTTCATATCATATTCGTATTCATATTATTATTATAATTGTTATTATTATTAATATTATTATTATTATTATTATTATAGCCCGTTACAATTCCGTAGAGGGCAAGGGCCTCCAATTGTCGGGTGGGTTACACAATGGTAGAATTTCCGAGAACCAATTCGTGAACTTCCTACTACATTCGCTATTTACATACAAAAATGAGGAGGGCTATTAACACACACAATAAGCAACACTTCACTTTGTCTCTGTCAAATTTAAAATTGTTCACTGTGATTTCACTACTTAAATAGAATTAGCTATCTTCACCTTACTTCTTCCTGCATTGGCACTTATTACGATGGTGAGAAATTAAATAATCTAGTGTAGTACGTTCATTGTGTAGTTTTAGACATGGTCTTCCACTTCTGACGATCCTTTGCCGAGGTAGACAATTGGCAGCCAAACAGCATTTTCAATTCGTCCGACCTCCGCCTCTTCTACCAGCCAACGTTTCTCTTTCAAAGTCTTGGATCCCAAGCGGTAATGCGGTGAGTCCAGCGGCTATGGGGAAGTCGCATGATGTGACCTGCCCAACGCCACTTCGGGTGTCGAACAGTGGTTTCAACGTCATTGATTTGTGTTACCTTTCTTAAGTCATATTCTACTTGCCAGGGTAATGTTTAATTTTCTTCTTTCCATTTTTCGAAGGCATTTTTGTTGTTATTATTGATATTTATATTATTATTATTATTATTATTATTATTGGTATTGTTGATATTGTTGATGTTGATATTATTGATGTATTGATGTGTTGATGTGTTGACGTATTGATGTAATGATGTATTTATATTATTGATATTATATCATTTATTGTAAATATTACATTATGTCTCATAGCCCATGAGTTGGATGTTGAGAAGGGAAAACCATATTCTGAAAATGGACTATCGTCGGCTGCTTTTACAATGTTTGTTGCATGGTTGGGCATTTATGTCATCCAGGTCTTTGGTGTCGGATAGGGGTCTCGAAATGCACTGATAGATCATTTGGAAGGCGAAGGAATCTCTTAGGCGCGTCCTTCGTGTGCCGCCTTCATTTGTTTGATTGATTACTAGTGACTCCGGGTGAGTCAACTGTTAAGGTCATTAGCCCCGTAAGTGTAATGCATGTTGCTATCTTGCTCCACTGGATGGTTAATCCGGCGCCCACCTACTGTACCGCCCCAACCGGGACAAGCTCTAAGCTCACGATTAGTCTCCCTGCAGATGTGGTATTGTAGTGCGTGTTAGTGTAAGTGGGTACAAAGTGAAAAAATGACGAGGAAGAGGTAGAAAAGATCGCGAGCGGTCCGTGGCCAGTTTCTTAGAGAACTGATCCTGCGATTTAAGATTTGTGACATTGACGATAAATACAAAACGAATGAGATCAAACACATAGAAGTAATCACAAGGTTGTGCCCGAACGCAATGATTTTACATAAAATAAAGCACCAACGAAACGTTTTTTAAACAAAACAATTTTAGTTTCATTAGATAAGGTTTCTCTTCAGAAATAAGTTAATCGTATGTTTAGTAACACATAAGGAATTTTGTTCTCTCCAGGATTTTGAGAAACCTACAAAACTTCTTAGCTGTGAACAGTATTGCTACCCTATCTGCTCCTTTACAAAAAAGTTCACTCGGTTTAGTGACGAAAAAAGAAATGCAGAGTAGCTTGAGAATTTATTCCTTTGCGGATTTCACAGCTGGGCTCCGAGGGTTAAATTTTGGACAATCCATCTGAGATTGGTTTTCTTCCAGGTTCCAAATTATTCTTTGAACGCTTTTTATTAATGCAAATATGTTCTCAACTTTGCTATAATTGTTGTAATTTTTATTTTTAGAATTATTGTTAATATAATTTTTATTGTTTCACAATATGCACATGTCATTTCTATTTTGATGGATTTGCGATATATTACTTTTTCTAATCCCAGCTTAAGGTACACTCTGAACCTATAAATTGTATTAATAACCATTACTAAAGGCGAGAAAGTACATGCTGCACCACTTTAGTTTAATTTGTTTCTCTTGAGCAGTGTACGTTCTATGTTTTTGATAAACAAATTTTACGTTTTGTTTAACAGCATTTTTGTTGCTGCACGCCACTTTTTACTAAGATTATTGTTACTATTAATGATAACAATTAAAAATTATATAAATAACATTCTTTGAGATACATTTATCATAATAGCATTTCCAAGACGTATTATTTTGGGTTGTAAAGTTGCAAACCATATCCTATTTTCAATTCTATACTCTTGCTCGAGATTGGTAGGTTAACAAAATTTTGCCTTCATTCGACTTGAATCTCACCTGAATATATATCCAATATATTAACGGTTTACAATGAAAAAAGTATTATAAATTATATAAGTAACATTTATATAGAAACGTAACGTCCTTAAACAAAGACTCGGTGCACAGATGTTTTAACACCAAAAACATCGCATACATTTTGGTAGTTTGAATACAATATAAACAACAAACGACATAAATATTTAATTAATTTACGAGTATTTATGTTTAATTTGTTAATACAAAATGGAAAAGTCGCCATTAAGTGTACATACATATAATATTTATTAATAATTTTCTGTTAATAATTTAATAGCAATAATTTTCATTCATAATAAAACTTGTTATTATTTGTTAGATTCCGTAGTAACTACAATGTCTATTTGGCAATGTTTATGTGTTTCAAATTGTATTTTTGTTGATATAGTGTTTAAATACAACAAATGTGATCTGTATACAGTTTTGTTAGGTTTCAAATCTTGTGGTAAACTTGGCACGAAACAAAAGAAGAATGCCATTATCTAAATCAGGGGGTCTAAATTTAACGATAAAGAAATGAGATATCAGTACGGTAATATGTTGTTGTGAAAAGATTTGATACCAAATACTAGATTTTGATTGAAGTAGTAATTTATTCCAAACGACATAACCAGCATATACATTTGAAATACGTTTTTCTCTTACCTCAACGTCGACAGCCATATTGTCCTTAGCGATCTTCTTGGATTCACCTCGTCTCAGGAATTGTTATGTGGACGTCCATCATTTTATATTCTGAAAATTTGAAAATTTGATTAGCTTTAACTTTTATTCAAACCACATAAATTTTGAAAATGGAAAACGTTCAAATTTATTCCCGAATCTGTCGTACGCATCCAATATGAAAATCATAGATTTTTCTCCATGCAATGAATATTTCAATTTTAGATACTTAAATGGCTTGGACGTTTAAAACATGTGAACGGTTGTCGAGTAATAACACTAAGAATAGAAATAGATTTGGTATGCCATGCATTCCCATTAGTTCTTCCTGATATCATTAATACATTTTTATCTTCATTACCCATTTTCGATTCATTCATTCACTTATTAATTCAGGGTGATGCGAAGACCATATTCTGTCAACCTTTATAAGTCTATTTTTCATCATTCATTGTACTAGTTTAATTAGACAAGTAATACCATAAATTAATCATTAGACAAGTAATGCCATAAAGAAATAATGTTTCTTCATTCGTGATAATATATTCTACGAATATTTGAGAGATGACGGTGAACACACATGTGTTCTGACGATTTTAATGTCTTTTGTGAAATAATAATGATAATAATAATAATAATAATAATAATAATAATAATAATAATAATAATAATAATAATAATAATTTATGTTTAAGTTGGTCAAATTTTGTTAGATTAAAATGCAAATAAGTTATAAGGATAAGTCTTTTGGCGATGTGTTATAGAGGACACTTCAACCTCAACTCCAAATGTTTTAGATTTAGATTTATTCAGTCAAAAAATTATAATAACTGTATATGACGTTCGGGGGAAAGAGTATCTGCGCACGTTTTCTTAAGTTTCAGAATCCCTTCCCGTCATTTTAACTATAAATAGTTGAAAGATGAGTAGACGTTTAACATAAATAAATAAAAATAAATTTTAAAAATTGCAAGATGAACAATATTTGAAAAATTGTCATTTTCGTTTCTGAGTTATAGAAAACGTATTTGCATCGGTACGTTGCAAGTACGATTTTTCTGCATTGCTAACAAAATACCATCTCGTCCTTACCTCTACTCTTACCATTACAAGCAAAAGGAGAGTTCAACAAAACGTGCGCATAGTGAAGCTACATTTACATTCAGAAGCAAAAAAAGGGTCTTCTCAGCATTTGCTCAATGTATCAGAGAAACTGAACAACAACCTGATCGAGATAGGGGTCATTGACACGGAAGCTGAAGTACATTAATTGTTACAAGCATATTAAGTCTTCTGAAAAGTATACAAATCAAATGTAAACTAATTCATTATATATCACTGTTTTATGAAAATAAACATTATTTTTCTTTTTGATAATCAGTATAGTCTCTAATTGTATAGAAATTTTTATGCAGCAGAAAAGATTTTACATTTAATTTAAATTTGTGAATCAACTTCATTTATTTAATGTCATCTAGCAGTGCGTTGTAAACTAACGTACATGTATTGTATGTGGATTTCTGATAGTGAACTGTTGATACTGACACTTGATGAACGTGATTTTTACGACTTGTGTTGTAATTATAAATATCAGTATTGCATGATAATATGTTCCCACCGTTACGCAAGTCACTTTTGACAAATATTACAGATTCGTAAACATTAAGGCAACGCAGAGCAGATGAAAGTGTCGATTAGTATTTGACACTTAAAGACACGGAAGTGACAAAATTCAAATGGAATATTCAAATCATCTCAGTTGCAACCCGTACGTTTGTATTAAATTACAACTGCTTCCGATCTCAATATAAAGTTGAGCATATACAATTATTGATTCTATTAGAATGAAGATTTTAGAATCAAAATTTGCGGATCTAAAGAAACTGAAATATAAAACAATTTACTCTGAAAAGCATTACGTTCAAGACTAATACAGATAAACAGAATCTTGTTCGATGATGTCTAAAGCGAATTCGATTATGTCTAATTGTATTGTTTTAACCGCACTTGGCTGGTAAGCGTCAGAAGAATAAATTAACAGTATTTTGTAAAAAGTATTATGATACAATTACTCCATTGTTAGAAATATCAGATTCTCTTTGCAGAGGATTACACCAAGGTTGTTAAGCGGGAGGAAAAGTTTAATCATTAACATCGTTATATTTTTTCTTTCTAGAGTATTTTAGTATTTTCATAAATTTGATTGGTTGTGAAGGAAATTTCATAAAATCATTGACATCACTAGGTCTCATGAAATTTTCTTTATAAGTGGTCTAATTTATGAACATTCCAGAATCTTCTTCAATGATTAAAAAATTACTCAGTAGTTATAAACAAATATAAAAACAATGAAAAATGTTAGAAATAATTTTTGTGTAAGTTTGAAAAATATTATTAGCAAATTCTATTACATGGCGAAATAGAAAGTATTGTTTAAAAGTATTACACATTCGTAAAACAGTACATATGATATAGGTACTTAAATTATTTTATCAGCATATAACTTGCATTACACTGAATTGAGATGTAATTCTACGATGCAGTATAAGTTTGGTATCTAGTTAAAAATATTTTTATAAGGTAATTAATCACATTCTTTACAAATTCAAAACAACTTTATGGACCTTCAATGTATTTTTTAGACACAATAATTTAGAACTAAAACACAGAATTAATATTTATCAAATGCGACATGCAGTTCAATAATCTAACGCACAAGATCCACTGAACTGAAATTTTTTGGATGTGTTATTTTTTTTGTAAAAGTGTCCATGCACTTTAAGGGGAAATTGTATCATTACATTCTAGTGCGTTTTTATGCGGGTGTTATTTTGACCTAAATAACTACATGATTATTAAGATAGACAGCAAAGGCGAGATCATGAGTTAGTCAGAAATGCTACTCGTACATTACCTCATTATTACGTTGTCAGTGTGCTATGCAAAAGGCGGGTGGGTTAAAACCAGTTTCCTTGGTCAGTTCTTTTTTTTACATATACAAGCAGCGATATACAATTCAGTTGTGCCAATATACAAGTATAACAGTTATTTTCAGAGCCAAGGTATGAAATGTGAATAGTAAATTCCAATATTCTCTTTATCAGGCCTACTTCTAAGTTATAAAAATATATAGTTGATTTTCCTGAGATATCTTTTATCCCTTTTCCAGTTTTCTTATCTCCTTATATTTTTTTATTCTTCAATAGACAAGGAAATGAAAATTAAGTTCAAAGTCCATCGTTTCCAGATTACAAAGCACACGATGTTACAATTATCAAACGTTGTTTAAAGATTTATTTTAAAATGTGGAAAATAATTTCTGGACATTATTCAATGTTTTATGTCAATAGTTTATGTTTATTGATAGACTGAGAACTTCAAATATAAATAGAAAGAACAAGTAGTAATATCTAGAATTTGAATTGATCACTGCAAATTGAGTCACATAAGATGCGCCCCATCTATCAATTTTGCAACAACCCCTCTTTTTTTAAATTTATTTATTTATGGTCGCATTATGGTCGCAAACATAAAGGTTGCAATTATTACATGAACAGAATTGTTACATTTTATCACATTTTACACAATATGTACGGTTTAATCTATTACATTAATCAGGTATATAATGTTATACATTTTTGTAGTTGTTAACAATTTTATTATTTTGGAGCACCCGTCTGTGGAACTGAGTAGTGGTTGTAGGGTTCCTTCAATTTTTAGAAATTTTCTTATGTCATTTGTACCAGGGCATTCAAGAATAAGGTGGGAGGTGGAGACTGCTGCACCACACTTTGGACAGGGTTCTGGATCTGATCTCTTAAATAAGTGGCAGAAATTGAGATTGAAATGCCCTGTCCTTAGTCTAGTGATTACAACCTGTTCTTTTCTGTTAAAATGTTTTCCACAAACCATCTTCTCTAATATTTGGCAGATGTTATTTGTTAGGGAGATTGGACGGTAATTCGTGGGTAGAGTGTGATCTTTATTAGGTTTAGGTATAAGAATTACATTAGCTTCTCTCCTTTGGTCTGGAAAGTGTTGTTCAGTCCAAATATACTTATAAACGCAAAGTAAGTTCTTAAGTCCAACTTCAGGAAGGTTTTTCAAAAAGCTGTTGAGGCCAAGTGCAGATTTTTTCTTAGATCTAATAAATGAACAAGTTCTTCCATAAAGAAAGTTTTGTTGTCATTATCGTTGTTGTTGCTAGTTAGTAGCAAAATGTTATTTTGACTTAAGTTTCTGCTTGTAGATAGAAAGTTTGTGTCAAAATTATTGCTATCTGAATCTTGAGCAAACGTGTTCGCTAAACGGCTACATACGGCTTGAGTTCCAACATGTTTTAAGCCAGTACTATCAATAAGATATTTAGGAATACTGGGAGTATTTCTTCCACTAATCGCTTTTATTTTATGCTATACCTCTGATATAGGAGATTGGTGTGTGATGGAAGAGGTGAACGTTTGCCATGAATTGATAATTGCGTTTTTAGAGTAAGTCTCTTGTTTTCCTGCAAGCAATACCATTTACCATGGTTTTGTTTTACTAAAATTTTCTAGATGTTTTTTTTTATTTTTAATTGTGTAATACATTGTTCGTTCCACCATGGAACTTGGCGTTTTTTAATTCCCGATGTATGGGGAATCAAAGTTCTTGCTGCTTCTAGAATTAGTGAAATAAAGTCATGCACTAAACTGTTAAACTCTTCAGAATCTAGGTTCATTGGTTGATTGAGAGTTGCAATATTGGACTTGATAAACTGTTGGAAATGATTCCATTTAGCTTGTTCTAGGATCCATTTAGGCACACATCTCAGATTGGAGAATAGGCCTAAGTCTGGAAGGGTCATGTGATTGTGATAGTGGTCACTATCATATAGGTAATTGTTTGTAGATCATGCAATTCTAGATGCAATGTCATTTGAGTCAAAAATAAGATCAATATTGATTTCATTTCCATTATTACACTTAAAATGGGTGGACAGACCTGTATGGTAAGATCATTATGATTGTCTAGCCAATCTTCAATGATTTTACCTCTTTTGTCTGTAATATTAG